AAAGAAAAAGAAACTACAGAGGAGTTAAAGTTGTTTTCTATTATAATTCCGTCAATTTTAGGGCTACAAGCTTCTTTATGAACTTGTTTTGATCAGAAAGAAGTGCTTTACAACTTTTCTTATAACTATAGAATAGGTTAATAGAATACTTTATAAGAAATAGTTAAAAGTTTAGTGTGAAGGCTAAAGGCTGTTTTTGCAGTGTTAAACTGCGAGTTCGAAAGTTATAGACTTGAAACTTTCAGAATATATGTAAAATAGGAGCTGAGCAAGTTTATTTAAGACACCAAAGTTAGTTATCTTAATAAAATAACCAAGTATTGACGATTTTAGTACTGACGAATTTTTAGTTATTTTTGTATAAAAAGGATTTACAGAAAGAGTTTAATAAATAATTATATAAACCATAAAAGTAATATTTTATTTAGCCAATAAAGAAAAAATACAAACATTCATTACAAATTTTGTATTTACAAAGATCAATTGACTTTTTAATTAGCACTAATTAATTGATTTATTTTCGATGACTTTTGTATTTGCGAACAGCATATTCCGCCTCAGCTCCGGTTAACCCATGACGATATGCATCTATTTACCAAAAACTTAGTCTTGCATATGCATGAATATGCTTTACTGGAATTGAGTCTAAAGCTTCAGGAACAGTGCGACATAAGCCAGTCCAGGTATAGTCACATTTTTGTCTTGCATATGCTTTCATAGCACCCTAATACATTTCAATATAATTCAATTCAGGGTGAAATTTTAGATAAAAAATTACCTTATGACCTCTTTTTTCTATTTCTTCTTGTATTAGGCCCCATTGTTCTTGAAAATCTGGTTGATTTGCAAGTATCCAGCAAGCACAGTAGTCTACTGCTTTAGTATCCTTATCTTTTTTTTTTGCATGTTTCACATTCTGCCAATAAACCATTTTGTCATAATCCTTATTCTTCCAAAATTGCTTTCATCTCTTTAATAATAACAAATAAAAATTTGATTTTTTATTTTATTTTATTTTATTTTATGTTTTTTATTTTTACCTTTTGCTTGGCCTTGTAGTTTTTTTTTTGGATGGTTAAGAGGATAAACCATCCATTAGTCATGACTATTCCATTTTGTTGAATGCATTTTTGGCTGATTTCTACCAGAAAACATATTTATTCTTTTAACATTTAATGATCTAGTGCCAATGCTATATGGATTATTGAATTATTAAATGCCCATATTCCGATAGTTCCTGAATGTGTTCGTTCGAATATTGAGATTGCTTTTTTTACCTGCTTAAGCAACCATTTACCATTCCAATAACTATCTTTATTTGCACCTAGTGCCATAATCACTCATGCTTCATCTTCATCATCCTTTAGTCGTCCAATATTCTCGATCAAAAAATTACTTACATGTAAACCTGCACCTGTCTCTTTTTTTCTCAAAGATTGTTCTTCTTGTGGATCCCAAAAAGCATGCACTCCATCATATGCATAAAAGGTTGACTCATCATGTGTTACCAAGATATGTAGTTTTTGATTTAAATCTAACATTGGTAAAGTTCTTATTTTACACTCTTTGTTAAGCCATTTTGGCATTAATGGTTCATATTCAGCAATTTGATTTAGGAATTTGTTTTAGTATGCTACTATGTCAGGAAACTCATGACCATCAACATAAATTCCCTTCTGATATCATTTATATGTGAAACCTAAATGATGCATCCATCATTGTACTGTTTTAACATTTACTGTTTAGAGCATGTCAAATCCGAAGTCTGAAAATATATTCTCTTCAAGATATTGTTTTACCAAATAAGAACTTACTTTAAATTTATTTGATCTAAGATAATCAGCTACATGCATACACACTGATTCATCATGCAGAAGGGACTTGGAAGAATGTTTTCTTTGAAGACTTAAAGGTATTGTTTTGCCTATTTTGAATCGTAAATTTTATAAATAGAAGTAGACCTGAGGCAAATATAGAAATAATTTATTAAATGCATTATATTTACCTTTTAAACTTAGCATTACCCATCTTCTTATACTTTGAGCTCTATATGAATCTTTTCCATATATCATAGCAATAGTTATGCTTGATTCTCTTTTTTTTTCCATTTTGTAAGAGACGCAGATATCTAACAACTGATTAGTACTGAACTAGCTTGACTTTTTAAGGTTTCTCATATTTTATTAAGTTTTCAATTTGTTCGATTGCATTTTTTATGTTTTTATCATTTTTAACATCAATAATTTCTGCATCTTGACATCGTTCATCATATAATTCACTATTTTCTAACTCATCATTATTATTGAAACTATTCTCTTCACTACTTTTATCACTTTAATCTAAATTATTATCTGGTCTGAAGAAGTCAGTTATGTGAACAGATCCTATAGCCATTTTCTTACTTTCAAGATGTTTTTGTTGGTAAGTTCTTATGGAATTTTCTATATAAACAAGGGGCCTTTTCGGTTTTTTTCTTTGCTTAAGTAATTTATTAACAATATCTTCTGCCTCTTCTTCATCCATCATTATATTGTCTTCAAACATTTCATCACTACTAATATTGCTATTAGACTCACTATAATTCTTATTGCTATATTCATCATCACTGTGGTTATTATTTAATAATTGCTGTGCATTTAATGCATTATTTCGTAGTTGAACCATTCACTTTTTTTTTTGGCTCATTTAGAAAAAAATATTCCACAAATTGATTGTTATAATTGAGCAAGATTACAAGATTTAAGGTAATTTTAAGGCAGAGTAATATTTATTAAGCTATTGTAACTTAAATTTTATTGATTTAAAAAAATCTTCTTTTTTATAAATTAGATACATTATATCTAATGTTTTTGATTACTAATTCTTATTTGTATTTTTGGGCTATCAACGGGAGTATTACATTCCTTTTTTATTCAGATTATTTTTTTTATTTTTGCTAATTCTCTTTTCACATGTATTATTTTAACCCTTTTAAAAACTTTATTTTTTTGAACTTATTTCCTTTTTCTTGATTCACATTGTTCTTTAAATTAGTTTTCTTATTTGGTTAGTATTGTTGAACCAGTTTTTTTTTAAGATTTGACTACTCGAAATTTTTACTAAACCAGTTTTATCCAAGATATTTGTTCACTCTAATTGCTATCTTCAAGATTTCAGATAAAATATAGTATAGGTGACACCTTAATAAATAATCAATTGATTTAAAGTAGGCATCATCTATACTATATTTAATCCAAGATTTCAAATACTATTCAAACACTTTTCTTTTTACTATAGTCAGATAAATGTTCTATATATGTCATATATGTTTACCTTTATTGAATTGTTCATTGTAATTTATCAAGATATAATTTTATGGGTTATTGGTCTGATTATGGATTCTTATGGATTCTTAGATATGTGTCACTTAAAAAAAAAGGAGTTGATTTTTCAATTTTAGATATTTGGCTTGGGAAGAGGTGCTAATTTTATGTTTTGTCCATTTTTATTTTAGAATACTGCATTTACTGTTATGTTGATTATCTGTCATAGAATCATCTGATAAGTTTGTATCCTATTATGTGAAATATTTGAAAATAAACAATTATCACTTACCCAATATTTAATTACAATTGTTATTTGATTATTAGAGAGGTGCCAGACTTTAAACTTGAGAAAATGGTTAATATAGTTGGATCCATGTCATTTTACTAAAATTACTTTATCGACAATTAATTTACATACAAGATTATTTTATCGACAATTAATTACCGGCAAGATTATTTCACCGGTTGCTCATTTCATCATCAAGTTGTTTTTTATAAATTACATTAGAGTCATTTGTGAAATGGGTTGTCAATGTATTAAACTATTAGTAAAATAAACTTGGTGAATTAATTGTCAGTAAAATCATCTTGTCTGTAAATTAATTTTGATGAACTAAGCTGTTGATGAAGTGATTGTTGGTAAAAAGAATGAAACCAGTTAGGGTTAGATGCAATTCAGATTTTGATAGTTTGCATTTAGAGAACAATAAAAAAAATTGCATTTGTAAGAGTTTAAAATATATTTGGGCCTGAATTAAAGAATGTATTTAGAAAAGTGCTGCATTTAATAGGTTTAATTTAGAGAGATCTGATTGTAATAAATAAATAATTAAAAAACAAATAAAAATTTTATTTATTTACATAAAACTTGGCATTTTTGCTTTAAATAATTTTTTAAAAAAATAAATTTTGCTGTATATAATAAATTTTTGTTATTAAATAATTTATCTTTAGATATAAAGTAAATTATTTAGCTAATAAATTATATATATTTAATTATCTATATATGTGCCAAATTTTAATTGTCATATAAAAATTGGTCAACTTTAAATTAATATAACTTTTAATTGAATAGATTTTTTAAAAATCTGTTTTAGCCAAATTATAATAGCATCAAAAAATAACAATTTGGTTAAATTAGTTTTTTGATTTAAAATAAATTATACAATTAATAATAATTTAAAAAAAGCTTATAAAAGATGTTGGTTTATTCTGTCCTGCACTGTATAAACAATATGTATATAGTGCCAAAGTTAATATATATGCTTCAGATATCAAAGCTCTTGAAAAGAGCAATCGATACTATATAAAGGCCTATAATAAATGTAGCTAAACACAAGTTAGGAATTGCAAGAAAAATAAGCAATAGCGTAATCATTCATAGAAATCTGGACAATTGTAATGCATTATAGGACTAACTGCTAAATTAAACAAATTACAAGTCTGCATATATGAATTAATTCAGCAGATCCTGAAAAAAAAACTAACAAGAATTAGAATTAATCAGAGTTTGCTGCTATTAGGAACAACAGAAACAAACTGGCAGGAAAACTCAGCAAAAGTATGCAACAACTTATGGAAAAACAATTTAGCATGCCAGATAATACTAAGAGCTAAAGAGTTACAAATATCATTTGATTTTAATAATATAGACATAGGAAAGATAGAGAAAAAATTGAAAATCACAGATGTGTTAGAAGACAAGTTTACATTACAAGTAGCTTTAGCAGTAAGAAAGCTCAATATATTCTTAGTAAATCAACTTATTAATAAAGAAGGCAATAGAATGATCTCATAGCAGCAGCTTAAACTACTAAGAAAAAAATTGAGCAAAGAAAGACCAGCAAGATAATTTAAAAGAATCGAAGAAACTATTCTAAAAAACAAAAGTAATAGACAGCTCAAACTAGAATTTACATTATCAGAAGAAAATAAAGAGTTATCACTACAAATAACCTTAGACAGGTGCTTAAATGATAATAGGAAAAAAGAATAAATTGTACTAAAGACACCATGAATAGGAAAAGAAGAAAACCTAACAATTAGAAAAATTGTTGCAAACATATTCAAAAAGGTGCTTACAGAATATTGGAAAACATACCTACAAGAAAACAAAACAGGCAAGGTTTTGGAAAAATGGAATAGTTGCAATTTAGATCAAATTGAAGAACATAAAAGTTGTAAAAGGTAAAATAATAGAGAAGACATTCAAGGCTCTCTATTAAGATTTATTAGTAAGAAAGAAGTGCCCAAACTTGAAGTAGAACAAGAAATGATAAGGAATAAAATACAATAAGTTAACCAAACCAAGCAAACAGAAAAGTCCAGTCAAAGAGATAATGTATAAAGATTTAGATATAGAGCTTATTAAAAAACAATGACTTAGTCAAGTACTTAAAAAAGAGCTAGTTCATAAAAACCAAAGAAACAAACTAGAAAACTATAAAGAGCTGATTTTCTATATAGATAAAACACTCAAGAAATCAGTAACAAAAAACTTTATAAAGAGTGACCACATAGAAGTAGGTAGGTGCAAGTAGATAGTAAAGAGAAAAAAATAATTGATGAAGATACAATTGGTGTATAAAATTGGCCTTTATCAACAAAATTAGAGTTGCTTGCAATCTGGTATGTGCTGCTAATAATACCAAAAAAAAAAAATCAAGATTTATACTAATAGTGCAGCAGCAATAGCAGACCTAACAAAGATAAAAAGTTAAAGTCAAGCAGACATTGGATCAAAGAAAAGAATTATAATCTTAAAAAAAGTATTTTAGAATTACTTAGATTAAAAGAATTAGATTTAGATTTAGTTAAATTAAAAGGATATAGTTGTAACAAATAGAATAATAGAGCAGATAAATTAGCAAAAAAAGAGAGCAAAATAGATAATATGAATAGAATAATAGAGATGCCATCTTCAAATTTAAATGTTTCACTCTGCTAAGAGAATTTAGTAATTGAATGCTTGACAAAAAAGTTTATCAAAAATGTACTAGAACTTAAAGTCAAAGTAGAATAAAGGTTCATATCAGCAATTCAAAAAACAAAACCAATTTTGAAAAAAAGAAGAACATGACTGATCAACATTATGGCAAAGCATTAAGGGTCAAAGGAAAATAAAATGTATAAATATGAAAAGAAATAGAAAATTAGCAATACTAACTAAATATATAAACAAAAAACTACCTGTACTTAAGACCTTGGCACAAAGACAATCAGATTTATACAAAAACACAATTTATTACTTTGTAATAAAGACATGAAGAGGATTAAGATCATCTAGCAACATGCAGTAAGTATAAAAAGGGTGAAAAGATATAAAAAATATGTTAATCAATTTGGCATAGACAGTACTGCAAAAGAAACCCAGAGAAAGACAAATAAAGATGAACTTAAAAAGCTTTTATAGTGAATCTCAAAAGAAGAAAGATTGGCAAACAGATCCAAAATTATCAAAGGTCTAATGCAAAAAAAAAACTAAAAAGTCAGTACAAGAAATTATACAATCTCTAAAGAAAACCAAGAACTTTATAACTGTGTTCACAAATGCAACATGGAATGGGTTTCTTGAAAATATATAAAAAAAATAGTATAATATTGTTGCCGACTGAGAAAAATTAGTAGAAATTAAAACCACAATTAAAAAGAAGAAATATAACAAAAAACAAAATCTCTCAAGTAATGAAACACAAAAAGAAAAAAAGGCTTTAAATATAGATGAACAAAATCAAGTTATGAGGGAGAAAAAAGTAAGGAATAAGATTCAAATTCAGAAAATATGGCTTAATTCAGTTTTTAGTTTTGTAAATAGAAATGTAAGACCCTTTTTTTAAAGTTATACTGGCTAGTTTAGTATAGCTTTAGGCCAGGAATAAACATCTGGCCTGTGCAACAGACTGCTCCTAGGCACTTACAGAAGTAGCTGGGAAATGTCAAACTAAAACTTAAGCCAACTTTGTACAACATGTATACAAGAATCTTAATAAAGGTGATCAGCAAGGCTGCCTAAGTTTTTAAAAAAAAAATAATAATAATAATCCTTATTTTTAAATATTATCAAACAAAATTTCATTTAAATATTTTAAAATTTAAAAAATATAAATTATAAGTATATTTTTATTAAATTTTTAGACAAATTTGTCTAAAAATAGTCTACAGTTTAAAAGATAATATTTTAAAAGTAAAATTTGTATTTTATATAAAATTTCAATTGAATATTCAATAAAAATATAGACATAGATTTACTATTAATATTAAAAATAATAATAATAATAAATAATAATAATAAAACAATATTAATAATTATTTGTTTTATAATATTTCTGTCTTTTTTAAAAAATTTACTTTATAAATTCT